TGAGATTCCTATGAAATATATCCGGGGGTTTGCAGAGAATGCATTTTGCGCGGTTTGCGAAAAGATGGATTACCAATTTGACCCTGGGATTTAGACGTTTGTGAATATATTGCCCGGAGGATCCCGCGAATGTTTAAGCGGTTTTCTTATGTGGTGATTCTTTGAAATTGCATTTTTTTTTAAACCGATCCATTTTTAACCTGGTATTCACGATCGTTAATTCTTTAATTCCTTTAATCTTTACAAAACCATCTTGGGGGGGGGGGGGGGGGAAAACCTAAAAAAGGCTATTAAGTTAGACCCCCCAATCCCATGTGTAGGTGCGCAAAATGGGAACGCGTTTTACTTTCAAATGGGGACGTTCAACATGTAAATTGCCAAATGGGGACATATTGTAAAAATCAAATGGGACGACTATCCCATTGAACGAGAAATCAGAATTTGTCGGAAAATAATTTCCCACCAGAATCATATGCTGACGACGTCCGGAGCCAAACGGGGTCGGTGGGTATATGAAGGGGGTGAACTGGAGCAAGACTCGAAAAGTCCTAGGGGCTGTTATGGTGTGTTTAGGCATTACTATTATGGTTCGTAGGGGTCTTATGGCTTAAGTGCTTTATAGTGACTACGATTCTTGCTGCGAAGGTTCTCCCTCTACAGGTGTTCAGTGTTCCTGATCAGCACTACTAGGGGCTCTTCGGAGTGGACTTAGATCACTATACCCCTGATCCTTATTCAGTTAAGTGCTAAAGGCAATAGTAGGGGCCCTTCGGGTGAACTACGGTATAGTGAGGTGCGATAAGGGGCTTGACACTTATGGTGGGTGCATGGGCACTCCTTAACCCTATTTAGTTAGGTGCAAAGGACGGTCAGGGGCCTTTCGGGGTGGACTGAAGTGCCAGTTAAGTGCTGAAACCCAGTGGTATACCTTACTCCTATTCAGTTAGGAGCAAAAGGCAGCTGCGCGGGGCCTATTGTACCATAATTGCATACTCGTTGACCTACTCTAGTACTCTGAAAGCGGTCTTCGGGCCGCGGGGAGGGGACTGGACGGGCGAGGAGTTTATACCAAAGTGAGCTTGTGTCTCGGCACTCGCTTGTGGAGGTACCTGAAGACCTAGCAGCTTCGGCTTGTTGGGCTCTGATGGAGTCTGTGGATGACTGACCGATGGTTAGGCCTATTCTAAGACACTTGGGGGTAAGCCTAAGCTGGTATCCGTCCTATGGACGTGACTGGCAGACGGTATCCTCCTCTTGCGGGGCGTATGTTACACCGTGGGAGTAAATAATTAAGGGTTTTGGATTCTTTTCTTTTTACTTAATATTCTTATTTCTAATTTTCTTATTATTTGGCCTTATAATCGGCCGTTTATAAAAATTAGTATTTTATATATTAATTTTAGTTAATATAAATAAAACTTACTTCTTTTCTTCTAATATTATATAAGAAATAAAATAAAATGTATTAATTATTTTTACTTTAATAACTATTTTTATTTTATATCTAAAATATAGCTTTATATAATTAATTTCTTTTTTAAAACCTGCTTTATATAGGTGCTTTACTAATAAGAAACTAATATCTAAATCTAGTATAAAAAAATAATTAGAAATTAATATTAAAGTCTTATTTAATATATATAATATTTCTTTTCTAACCTGAATTAATTTATATTTAATAGAAACTAATATAAATCTAAAGTAAGAAAATTAATTAACTATATATATAATATAAGCCAAGTTAAATAGTTAGAAATTCGAATATTTACTAATATTATCTTAAGAAAACAAAATAGTTTAGTCTTAGTATTTGTTTTAGAATTAGATTTCTTAGTAAATATAGTTTTTTATTTAAAATTATTAGCGGCTACTAGAGCCTTAGCTTTCTTAAATAATTTTAGTAATAGCTTCTTTAGTTATTTAAATAAAATAGTTTTCTAGAAAAAGAAATAAAATAATAATTTTTTCTAATTAGCTTTAATAGCTTTATATATAAAATAATAAAATATAAAATAATTATATCTTTTATATATATAATATTTTGCTTTTTTATTTTTTAAGAAATTAGACTAATAGTAATAATAATAATAATACCGAGAGAAATAGCTATAAATATTATAAGTAATAAAAGTGTTTTCTTTATTTACTAAAATCTTAATTTTTTTATTAATATTTTATATTATTATTATATAAAATTTATTAATAATTACTTTATACTTATCTAGTAACTTTATATTAAATATTATAAATAATATAGAATCGGGATATATATTTTTTATTATAAAATCTATAAAACTAAATCTATAATAATATTTCTTTATTTTAGTTTATTTAGAATATATATATTTAAAGCTCTAAATTTTCTAAATTATTATTATAATTTTAATTAGAAAGAATTAGTAATATTTTATTTTAAGAAATTATTATATTACTTTAATATAAATTAGCTTATTAATTTTAATAGTATTTTTATTAGAAAGTAATTAGATAATATAATATAGAATAATAGTTTTATTTTTATTATATTAAGCGAGCTTTTTTCCGAGTTTTTTAAAGTTCTTTTTAAGCTTTAACTTTACTATTTCTTCTATTACTTTATTAATCTTATTCTTGCCTTTTCCTTTAACTAATATATTAGATATTATAGATATTATATCTATAATATATATATTCTTATCTAGTTTAATAATATATTAGACTTCTTTAGTATAGAGCTTTAATAATATTTTATAAAACTATATTTTATAGTTTAATTAGCTTAAAAGCTCGAACTTAGAAATATATTTTTTATTATTTATAATAATATATTTTATAATTATAAAAGAATAATAATTTAATATTTTATAATTATAGAATAATTAGTAATAAAAGCAAAAGTATTTATAGCCTATTAGCTATATTTATTTATTAGTATATTACTATTTTTCCTTATATTTTTAGCTTAATAATATATGATTTTTTCTTATATTTTTGGCTTAATAAATCCCTGTTTTCTTTTATATTAGATATTATAATATTTGCTCGAGTTCTTTTATAAAGCTTTATAATAAAAGTTATATTTTCCTTTATATTAATTATATAATATCTTTATATTATATAAATAAAGTATTTAATATATAGTTTCTCTAAATACCTAGATAAACCGGAGCTTATTAATCTATTAAAAATATATTTCTTAGTCTAATATAATCTAATAAGGAAATAATATAATAGAAATAGAAATAGAAAAGAAAACTTAATTATATTTACTAAAGAAGAAAGAAGAAAAAAGAAGATTATAGACTTTTATAAAGCTATAATTTTACTAGTTTATATAATAATATTATATTTATATATAATATTATATAATCTGTTTTCTTAATAATACTTATAATAAAAATATAGAATACTTTATAATATTAATATTAATATATTAAAACTTTTATAAAACCTATAATATTAGCTAAATTATATAATTTTTTTGGAAATTATATATAAGATATTAGAAAAATAAAATAAAATAATAGCTTTTATAAAGCTCGAAAATAAGCTTATATTTTTTAAAAAAGAATAATATTATTATTTAGTTTTTAAACTAATTATTTCATATAGTTATTTAACTAGTATTATTATTTTTATTACTTATATTTATTAATTATATTTATTACTTATATTTATTACTTATATTTATTACTTATATTTATTACTTTTAATTACCTTTTAATTATATAATATAATTATTTTATTAAAGAAATATATCTGAAATATATATAAAGATATTTAAAATATTAAGCCTTTTATAAGCTAGTATATTATAAGATATAAAGGCAAGTAGTATTAAAATTTGTTTAATTTATTAAATAAGAATAAGTATAATTCTAATTCTTATAATAAGACTTTCTTATAATTCTATATTATATTTAATTATTATAAATTTTTATAAAAATTAGATTTATTTCCTTTATATCTTATAAAACTATTTTAATAACTTTTAAATATTATATCGAGATTTGATATAATTTTTCAAATATAGTAATTTTAGTATTTCTTAATTCTTTATAAATAAATAGTTTTTAATACTACTTGCCTTTATATATATTTTTATATTCTTATAGCCTCTTATATTTTAGTTTTTCCTTTTTTAGCTTTAAATTATTTTCATAAGAGATCTTTTATTTTGCTTTTCAAGCCCTAAATACTATATTTATAATATAAATATTATAAACCTCGAGTAATAATTTAAAGTCTTATTAATTATAATTAAGTATTAGTATAAGTTTATTAAGCAAGCTCTAATATAGAAACAAAATAAGCTTAATAACCTTTATAAATATAAAAAGAAGCTTAAGAACCAAGATTAAAAACATCTACTAAAAGAATTACTTCTTTTAAATTTATAACGAAATAATAAAGAGGCAATTATAGAGGCATTTAAATAAGAGTATAATAAGAGAGTAAGCAGAGAATACAGAGGAAGTCGAACTTATTATTAAATATTAGTTGGAAGAACAAACATGTTTATAGTAGGCCCTTTGCTACCTCTCAAAAGACCTTAGTTCTCAAGCCATTATCGCTCGAAAGGTCTCTACTATTAGCCTCATAGTCGCGCTCGCCTCTCGACAAGAGTTCCAAATTCGCACTCGCAAGCCGCGGTCCGTTCCAGCCTCCGCAGGGCTACTTAAGAAGAAATCCCCCGCTCCCGAGCCTTCCTAATCGCCTAATATATTTCCTGTCGTCTACAAGAAGACCCAATATATTATTTGCATCGGAAACAAGCGGCTTCCATACGAGCAATGAACGCGCACCTTCAAGCGCATCTCAAATATTTACTTGAGCAAGGTACTAGTAGAGCAGCGGATTATCTACGGCCACCCTGTCTACAAGGCTCAGGGATTGGTTTCTCAACCACATTATGCACTTCAAGAATCACGTAGCGAGAGTCCACAAGATCAACTTCCGACTGAGGGTTTTCCCATATTGATTTTTTTATTTTGCGGCTCCCTTCTATCTTAAGTGCTTCTCATAACCTCTTTTAAGATCCCATGCCCATCTCCCAACTTCGCAATGCGTTCCTCTAAAAACTTTCGCTGCCTTCTTGCAGCCGCAGGTTCCATCGCAATAGCCTCAGCCTCGGAGTCAGTAAGACCATTGACCACAACTGGGGAAAATATCCTCTCGATTTTCCTAACAATGTGGCGCTCGATCACTTGAGTCGTGATGTTGGCGACGAAAGTCTTCTGCGCAACCTGATGCGGAGCTATTAGTTTTGACCGAAACCGAAAGGGTGTTCTAGGGACAGACCTTGTAGATTGAGTACAAACAGTCTAATGCGTCTTCGCAGCTGTGCTTATCCAAGTTGGGATCGGTGCTTCGAAAAAGCTTATTGATGACAGCGGCAATATCAATGCTTGCAGACAAGTGCGACTGCGAGTTACAGCCGGGGACGGGCTTATGTATCATAGCTCCGTCTATAGACGTAGAGAGAGAAGTCTCATACCTCCGTATCTTTGTTCTTGTGATATTGTCAATATAGTAATGGTCATAGTTGATTGGGTAACTCTCAAGGTCCTCCTGAAGAAGTTCCACCTCATGAATAGCTGCCTCGTACCTCGTTCTCACAGAGCCTTGCAAGACAGAAGACCAAAGCCGAGGGTGGATATCCTTGGGGCATTTTTTAAAGAGGAGGTCCTTGAGAAATTGGGTGCAGACGTCTGCGACCTTGTCCACATACTCCATGGCCATGCTGGGCCATTTCGAAGATTGCTCCCAGAAGAGTTCACCTATGAGCAGTGGGTTAAAGTTGCCTGCAAGTTCCTTCCCGCGGGTCCTAATTAGAACTTGGTTCACCCACTCTAGAGCCTCCGAAGCAGTCTTGTTGATAGGAGGCGCTATCTTTCGAGGAGGTGTGTTATCGTCTTCTTCATCCGCAAAACCCTTCTTCTTCAAAGAGACCTCCCTGTTGACAGTTGCATCATTGAGAACAGCGCCCTGAAAGACCGCTGGCATGTCGATGTGATATTTGTGGCCCGTCTTTCGGAAATTTTCGGAGAATTCGTTGTTCATGAACTGAATGACGGCACGCAATCTGCGGCGGGTTGCCAGTGATTTGACTGAAAAAACCTCGTCGACATCGCTAGTGAAGTAATCGCCTTCATAATGGCCACTAGCAGCTGCCTTGCATATCTCGTAGAAGTCAAGGCTAAGCTGGGTGAGGTATTCTTTGCATTCTTGCGGTGTCGATCGGGAAGTCCCCAAGTTCTTCAGCTGGGTCTTGGCTTCGGTCAATGCTTCCTGTAGATCTTCCTGTAGCTTTGGTAGTTCCTGTTGAACGTGGTGGAAGAGCAGCTTGCTAAGGCGGTCCCGCAATGAATCAATACCAACATCTTGTTTAGGCAAAGCCTTAAAGAGAGACTTCCTGAAAAATGCGGCCTCTGATGCATTGCGTTCCATGAAAGAGTTGGAGCTCTCCTCGAAAGCCCGGTTCTTGAGCACATGCCAACCCAGAGTAAAATGGACATCCTCATTTCTCGCTAGGTCGAAGTAGGCCTGTTCCATTCCAGAGCCAGGAATGAGTCTGTCCGGCTTCGTGATGATCCCGAGCGTGCGTTCTCCATGAGGGTCGACGTTTCTGACCCTGGTCAAGATGCCTTGATTGGCATAATCGTTTGTGGCAGCTATCACAGCCAGGCAGATTGTACGAGATTGACTAATGTATCCGTCCGTAATCTCGGCCACGAGCTGCACATCGGCTTTTGTCACCCCCCTTGTGTCCGTTTGGATAAGCCCAGGAAGGTCAACTAGCGTAAGTTGAGGTCTAGTCGGCCCTTCAATTTCGATGCTGAGGACGTCTTTCGCAAAGGCTCGAGAGATGGACCCAGATGAGAGATCGCTTTCAATGCCCATGACTAACATAGCCTTCGCCATAATGTCCGGAAGGTCACCGAAATTTGTAATAACCGCTTTGAAAGAATTAATGGATTCTTTCTCCGCCGCGGAACGGTCACTGTCTGGAATGACCCTGATAGTAAGTGAATCCGTGACAGCCCGTCTCAAGATAATTTCCGTGGCATATCTCGTGCAGAGATTATCGCTCCTGGGGAACGGGATTTCGGTGAGTGCCTCTAGTACGGAGCTCTTTCCAGCAGATTGATCTCCGCAGACAACGATTTGAGGAAGCTGAAGAACGCTATCAAGGCCACACTTGCGCAGTTGGGCGATAATGTTTAGTACATGGCTCTGTTCCTCCGTCTGCAGCCCTTCAATTGATGAGGTGATGGTCATCTCCGGAAGAGCAATAGGATTTTGCACACCTGTGATGGAATATTGAGATCAATTTTAGCTACAGATTCATAGGTAAGAGGGACGCTTACTGGTGCGTCCAGCCAGAATTTCCGCACTTGTATCACTCATGCTTGCAATACTGAGATTAAAGAGCAGTAAAGAATGATAACCACTGCAAAGGGGATGAGAAATTAGACCAGGGGAGCCCTCGTGTATTAAAACATCATCCTAAGTGGAGAAGGGAATCAACTATTGCAGCTATCTGGGTGAGGTGATGGGAGCGCACATTAAGGTACGTGTGGCTGAAAGCTGCTTGCAATCTGACTGCCACGTCACGGAGGGCAAACCCATCCGACTCTATAGGACAAGACACGAATACTGTGCCATTCGTGATGCTGTGTAGCCTTAAGAGACGCTTGTCGACCATACAGATCTTGCATGATGCTGCATGGCTTGTTAATAAGCACATATCAGTACCTACTTATGCCAGCAGCCATGGACTCCAAAGAATTCGAGCCACTAGCCAGCAGCTCTCAAGGAAAAGAAGTCAAATCGGATGATCAACCAGCAGCGGCCAGTTCACTTGCGAGGAATTATGGGGAAAACCAAAACGACCCCCGCCCCCCTTCCCCTCCCCCCGGTGTCGATCACCAGGATTAGGGGTGTCGATTAGGGGCCAGACTAGCCACTGACCCAATGTAGAGGCGCTCGGACAAGAATACCAAAACTCTGGCTTTTTCTTTAATTTAATTCAATTTTATAAGGGATTAATATAATTTAATACTTCTTTTATTTCCTTATAGCGCTAAATTAGGGCTATTTAAATATAAACATTTTTTTATAAAATTCGGATTAGTAATAGCTCTTTAAATTAAAGAAGTTAAAAATTTCATATTTTATAGCTTAAAGATAAGCTTAAGAAAGCCTAGAAATTTAGTAAATAAGTCCCTAAAACCAGATATAAGAGCCTTATAAGCCCATAATTTATAGGGCCTTATAAGACTCAAAAGCTATAATTTAATTAATTAGTATATAAACTCTCTTAAATTAAAATACCATTTTAAGGATTCTTTTTATTATAGGTTAAGAAGCACGTAATTATAATATAAGAATTATAATATACTAGCTTATACTTATATTAAAAGAGCTTAGGTAGCTAATTACAAGTAATTAACACACCTGCCCCAATTGACACCCCCAATCGACACCCCTAATCGACACCCGCGGGGGGAGTCGTTTTAGTTTTCCCCGGAATTATTATCCCTTCGTCTGGCAAGACATGGTCCGTACTAGCGGCCGCACACGAATATCCCTTGTTAGGTAAGAATACAACCATCTCCTCCAATCAATCTATCCGCATGATGCGGCCGCTAGTACGGACCATTTCTTGCCAGACGAAGAGATAATGATAGGATGCGGCTGCGCGATAGGGCGGGGCTGCGATAAGACCACACCGAGCCCCAGACCATCTCACAGCGCCCTTCTTTATGCAGGAGGCCTCCTGCAGGAGCGAAACATCGGTGAACAGAACTGGCGGTTTTGAAGGCGAGAGGCCCCCCAGCTAGATTTTATGATGTCCAATGAAAAACAAGCCGTTCATTCTCCCTTGAACTAGAATGAACCTCTAGCGTTTCTAAGGGCCAATCGATGATCAAGTGGGCTTCCTCTTAGCCTCCTCAACCACAGCAATTTCCTCCAGTTGGCACATGTCAGCATGTCATCGAGTAAAGCTTGCCGCATTACAGCATCGGTAGCGCCCGTATTATTTGGACAAGTCGTCCCTAAGACGGGTCGTTTCGGTACTCCCAAACTCGGCTTCTTTAGAGAGGGGTCTCCGCCATCGCACCGTAAGGTAGCAGCTTCACAGGTAACAAATTCACCAAGTACTGAGCATAACAAAGACTAGTGCCGTTTACGTTTAGCTGCACTATGGGACAGGTACAATTAGACGCAATTTTCTAGTCATATGATTTTGCTCAATACACCATGCCCTTTATTCACGGCGTTGCGTTTATGTGACATTATCCGAGATAAATAATATATATATTCTGAGATAAAGAGCTAATTATTAATTTATTTCGTCCTTTAACTATAGGGTTAAAGAGCTTTACAAGTGAGAGTGAGGCTTGAAATGGCTTATAGAGAGAGGTAGAGAGTTTAATAAGTAAGAGTAGGGTTTGAAAAAGTATATAAGAGATAATAGAGTACTTTATTACCCGTATAGAAAGTCACACAGTCTTCTTTATAGCATTTATACTAATTGACTTATAATTACTTATTAATTTTTCGATTCTTTATTTTTTAAATTTATTACTAAAAATTTATTAATTAAATTATAATTAAATTAAAAATATATACTACTTACTTATAGCCCTTAAATAAATATAATATAATAATCCTTCAATCCTTTAATAATTATTAAGGTCCTCGGAATTAGCTTTAGAAGAGTTTAAAGTCTTTTTTATATAGTTAAGCTTAAAAATAAAAAATTATTTTAAAAGTAGTTTTACTTTAAAACCCTTTCTATTTATTGGTTCACTAGTAATATATAGTACTATTATATAATCGTAAAATACTATTTGCATAAGGTTAGTAAAGTTATTATTATTCAGAAGTAGGGATTATAGTATTATAGTATTAATATGCGATCCCTAAATCTGCTAAGCCTAAAGGGGTCTAGTCTACTAGTCGAGTTACTAATGGGATACAAGGTTATATAACTATATCCCGTATTCCATATCTTATTACCTATATCCCGTATTCCGTATCCCGTGATTATATATGTAACTCCCAAAAGAATAGCTATACTAATACTAGAAACTCTCTAAAAATACGAAAAATAGTATCTCTCTCCGATTATATATAAATTCCCTAATCCGGCCTAGTACCAGATTTCCCAAACATTCTATATATCTATATTGCTTTTGAGATTTTAGTTATATACTAAAGGCTATAGCCTTTTATATATAACTTCTCCTTCTATAATATTCTCCTATCCTATATATCTATTTCCTGCCCTATCCGTATTCGATTTATTTCTCTATATCTAATTATATAGTATTCGTATTAATTAGATACTTGAAAGTATTTATTAGCTTCGATTTCGTTATAGAATTAGCAGGATTTAATTCTCCCTTAATTTATTTAACTTCTATAATCTCTCGTTATTCATATATCTGGTAAAGGTATATTATATTAATTATTAGATACTTTTTCCGAATAGTTCCCAATTTAATAAGGCATTCGTATAATGACTTTGAATCCGTATAGATTACTAGTAGTAGTTCTATTTCTAGTACTTTATTAATTATAGATTTAACTAAAGCGCCTATATTAAAACTATAAGCTATATTATAGAGTTCTAAAACTAGAATACTTCTAGTAATTCTCTTATATTTAGTAAAGAACTAGTAAATAATATTAGTATATCTAGTTCTATTTACTAGAACTAGAATATATCCGATTTAGGAGAAGAGATCTCTATTATTTATAAATAAAGTATCTGTAAAAATAATTAAATATAAGAATTTCTTTATTAGCTTTATGAATCTTAGTTCTCTAGTAATATTCTTAATTTGCTATTAAATATACTTATTAAGTGCCTTTATATTAGATTCCGAGGGTTTAATAGCCTGAGCCATAATTAATAGGTTATATAAAGCTTCTGGTTAATAGACTAATATAATATATATTTCTCTAGTATATTAGGTAATATATTAGTTCTTAATAAAGAGATCTTAATAAATAGTACTTCTACTACTTATAGTAATAGTATTCTTTATAGAAATGGTTCGGAGGTTCTTATACTAGTATTTCTATATAAGAGTAATTTTAGTAGTATCTATATAGATAATACCTTTATTAAACTTGAGATTATAGTTAATAATAAGGCATTTATATTCCTTAGTTAAGAATTTAGCCTTTTAGAGCTTTAGTTATTCTATCTTTATAAAATTATTAGTTCTAATAAATAGAGTATTATTAGTTTAAAGGCTAATAATTCCGAAGAATTACTTACTATAGAAAAGACAAGAGTTATAAGTTAATTATTCTATAGAAAGCTTATTAATATAGTAGAAATAATAAGTCTTAAATTAGTAGTTTCTAGCTTCCTATATATTATATAATAGTTTTATAACCTTTAGAACCGAATTATTATTTAGATTTAGCTTTCTAGTAAGCTTATAAAGTAAATTAATATAAAAATTATAGTTAAGTAAGGTTATTAATTAGATATAAGCTTGCGAGATATTATATAAATATAGCTCTATAGTATTTATTATTATAGTAGTAATACTAAGAATAATTCTTTAGCTAATATATTAAAAAATAGGTAATTATATTAATATTATATATTTCTTACTATTATTATAAGCCTAGATAACTAGTCTCAACTTCTTAAGCTCTCTCTTTATATCTTTATTCTTGATCTTATTAATAAACCGGGAATTAAAAATATATATTTCCTTTAGTATCTAAGATCTAGAAATAATCTTAAATATACTCTTTTCTAGAAAGCTAGTAATTTTAACTTAACGGGAGTTCTTATATAGGTTATTATCTTATAGGAATACCGTAATATCCGTATTCTTATAAGGATATCCTTTATTATACTTTAGTAAAATAGTAGAAATAATAGAAGAAATCATACCTATATTACCTTTGGCTTTATTATAGAATTCGGGAATAAGTTCAGGTTCGGAACTATTAGTAATAACTTTAATATCCCTTATATAAAAGGGCTTTATAGAGATTAAGTAAAAAGTAGTATTACTATATAGTAGAACTAGTATATAGTTCTTTCTATTAATAGCTACTAGCTTATATAGCCTATCTTAATTACTAGGTTAATTAGTATTCCCTTTATATTATATAAGAATATTCGAATTCAAGAGAAGTTTATAAATATTAGTAGTACTAGAACTATTTCGGATATTTAGGGTATTTATAATCTAATATCTAGCTTAAAGCTTCTAAATTTCTACTATTACTTTCTTGAATACTACTAATTACTATAATATAAT